TCTGGTCAAACTGGTTTCAGATTCTCTGGAAACCCCCAAGGAGCGGCTCCCTGTTACAAGCCCCACCCCCACCTGGAGGTCTGATGTCACTTCCTGTCTCTGTAGTCCTGATCTCTGCATAACTCACATTATCCAACATGTTGCTGCCTGTAATAAAGCAGCTGCAGAGAAATGTCAGGGTGGTGAGTGAGTGTGTTTAGTTTGATCTGATCTAAATGACCGTTTTCATTAGAGCTCATGTTCTCCAATGAAACGTGTTTTGGTAGTTTATATAAAATTGAAAGGAAGATGCTACAATAAAGACCTTTTTTATCAATAGTGACACCTTGTTCTGTTGGACTGTAAATGTTATTCCTTGAATTAATCTTTTCATCTCATTAGTATTGAGAACTTATAATTTTATGTGATGTCATGATAGTCATTCAAGAAGAGGCTTTGAGTGACATTCAAAGATTTTTATTAAAATAAAGAATCCTTTCCTCTGATTTTGGCTTCAGTCTGCTCCTCCTCTGGCTCACTGCCTCTCCAGATTAGAGAAGTCCTGCCTGCATGGCACAGATGTGCAAATATTGTTCTGCCAATTTGTTTCGATGTGGAAGAATTGTTATGCGTTGGGCCCAGTATGCAAATGGACCTCCCTCTCTGCACAGGTAGGGCTCTGACAAATAATATTAAACTTCAACTGTGGTGTGCTGTTGCATTGGTGGTGCAGGGGTTCAGCACAACCCACATATGGAGGTTTTAGTCCTCAATGCTGCTGTTGCAGGTTTGGTTCCCGGCCTGGTGACCTTTTCTCTTCCTCTTCTCTCATTGCCTGCTTTCCTGTCAATTCACTGTCAAATAAAGGCCACTAGAGGCAATAAAACCTTAAAAATAAACTTCTACTGCAGCATCTGCAGTAACACTTTGGGTGTCCTGAGTGGCACCTAGAAGAAAACAAAAGAGATTTTGGTCAGTATTTAAATATAAATATGCTGCAGATGATGATAACATTAACAACTAACCAACTCGACTATCAAGAAACTCCCATAAATCATCAGTTTCCTTGGATGCTGCATGTCAGGTGGCCTGACACAAACTGAGAAGTGCATATAGTCAATTTTAATCCATATAGTGTAGTGATGTGTTTGCACAAACAGTAAATGCATGTTTACCTGTGATGATGTTTCTTCCCTCTCCACATGCAGGTTTGAAGTTTGCAGTGAGTTTTTCCACAGCTTCCTGGTCATGTGTCTCATTCCCAAAAGTCAGAGTCTTGAATTTTATATCCAAAATCTGCACATTTTCCACATTACATCTACTGTGCAGAAAATGTTGTAAATACTGACCAAGTGACTGGATCATTCTAATTAATGAATGACTTCTGAGGCAGAAACATGTTTTTCTGCTGACAGTTCTATAGAGGGAAGGTTGAATGTCTAGACTTTCACTGATGGCTTCATGTTCACTGCTAGAAATGAAAGGAGGATCAGCAGCTATAGATGTAAATCTGTTCCTACTGGTTCATGTTGTTCATGGAGAAACGTAAAATAAGTACAACTCCATGTTTCCATCTTGTCTCAACGTCCTGAAGCAGCTGTGTGGTGGTTTTCCCAGGAGTTGTTGGAGCTCAGGAAGCTTCTCTTGAGCTTCAGAGGTTGATTTAAACATCTTATGATCCTTCTGGCTTTTAATCTGATTTCAGTGAGTTCTGGAGTCCAATCCAAAGCCTTCTTCACAATTAGATTTAGACTACTGGGCAAAACAGGGCACGTTTCATACCTGAAACAACTTTGCACAGGAAAGCATGTTGGCTGCATTCTCTGGTATTAAACAATAAATTATAAACCCCATTCATTTAAAAGAGACTCTGTTGCCACTTTCAAATTGCCAGTGAGAATCTGACCAACACCAAGTAGAACAGTTGCTCACTGCATTCTGTGTAATGGCAGGCGACTCCAAGGAAGGCCTCTGTATTAATAGAGGTCCACATATCCATAGCAACGCTCACATGTCTGCCTCTCTTTGGCCTCTATGCTCTTTTTCAAACATAATTTTTAGAGCTTGTCGAGTTGGCAGAGCAGAAGTGGGGTTACACTTCTGGACAAAGGCTCTGAATCCTTTGTCTTCTCCCACTTTAAATGGTTGACCATCCAGAACCTCTACCAGAACCTCATCCAGTTCAGCTTGCCTACCTCAAATATATAGTTTAAGAAAAATATTCAGATATTTTAAACTCCTTATTCTCTATGTATTTACATTGTTATACTTTAAAACCATTAAAAGTGCCTTGCCTTGTTGCTGCAGCACCAGAGGAAACCACAGCAGCTGCTGCACTGGGCCTGGTTTCTGGCTGTTTGGCCTGTAGGTGTTGCAGCTTGGAAGAGGTGCTGTTGACTTGACTTCCTGTGGTTAATCAAGTCAAAGTGCTCCCATGCATGAGAATGTGCTCTTTTTGGAGGAACTGTCTCTTCCTCCATCTGACTCACTGTCTAAACTCAGACTCTCATAGAAATACATTCACTCAGAGTCACACAGCATCACTCACCCAGCTGTCTAAACTCAGACTCTCTCAGATTCTCATCATGCAGCCACTCAGCTTCACCCTGGTGAAAAAATTACATACTTAACTATATTTTAAATAAACTGTATTTTTCTGAAGTACATTTTTAGTATGTTATCAAGTGGGAATATTTATTATTATACTAAAAGAGTTTTTAGTATTTTCTTAAAATATATTTTTGGTGCACTTTCTGAAAGTATCTATTTTTTCTATGATATACTTTCAATTCTAATTAAATATATTACTAAAGTTATACTTTGGATAATGATTTTAAGATACATGCTGCATGTATCTGTGTAAATGTACATTTTAAACAATACTTTTCTGAAGTTGTACTTTTGGTAGTATTTTTAATAGGTTTATTTTAGTAAACCTTAATAAATCTAAATACATTCCAATAATATTTGTGACTTCATTGTAAATAGTGTCTAATAATTAGACTAATTACATTTAAATGAAACACATTAAGGGTTTACATACATGCCACTTTATGCCATCAAAGTATGCTAGAGCTATAAAAGTAGATCAGTTTCTGATCAGTTTCTGATCCTTCTGGTTTCTTCTTGTTTCACTGAGGAATAAACTGCATCTGGATCAGAACCTGCAGGAAACAGAAATAATATTAGATTAACTTAATAAAAAAAATTGTTTTTGCTTTATGAAGAGTTTAGTTTTCTAACACCTCTGCAGCTGATGCTAAATATAATTCATGGCTGTGAAACCAGAATGTATCTGAGCAAACTGACGTTTCACCACAAAGTAGAAAATAAACGGATGGAACAAAATGACCAAAAGACCAAAACCACAGAGACGCTTCAGTCTGCTGGGCTCAGCAGGGAGGAGACGACGTGTTAGAGTAGCATGAGGAAGAAAATGAAATAAAATATAGATACTTAGTTACCACTGATGCAGTTTGTTACATGTAGAAGAAAGCAGCAGGCTGAAGGCTTTAATACTTTAAAGATTCATAGAGTAACAAGACTTGATCAATAAATGTGAAACCAGCACAGATTAAAATAACAATGTAAGTGAGGGATATAACTGATGTATTTATTAAGAAAATGTGCAGGTTGATTCTAACAGTCTGACCTCATTTCTTCCCCAACTCAAAGCTCCAGATTTGATCTGAATCTTTTCATCACAAACAGATTTTAATTCTTTCCAGTTTATTTCAACAAACGCAGCAGAAATCTGACCGACTCAGTTTTACTTTGGAAGATGAAAGTTTATATTTCAGTCAGTAAAAATCTGAAATGCTGAAATTCACAATGACCTTTTGTGTTTTAAACTTTCAGTCGTTAAAATTAGTGATGCAGTTTTTACTGATTCTGAACAGAAACGTTTACATGAACATTTAATTAATGTTAAACATCAGATGTTACGTCTCATTATGGAGCCTTTTTCTTTTAATGTGAGAGAAAATCTGAGTTCAGATAAAAAATCTAACCATTATGAAATATTAGAACTTTTTATTATCTTTTATCAGGAACATTAAACCTTAAGTCTTCTGGTTATAATACAGTTATAAAATATGCAACGATCTCAAACTGAATGAAAATAATTGAGGAGATTTTTACCTCTTGGTTTTGACTTTAGTTTCTTGTTTTTGATGACAATCTGTCCATAATTAATGTCGTCTGTTCTCACTGCAGAGTAAACGGCAGCTGGATCCGTTTCTGATCAGGAAAACAAGAAATGATTCATTTATGTTATAAACAAACAGAAATACAGAATCTACAGCTACAGTCAATAAAACTGAATTTTATTTAGAGTCAATATTACAGCAGCAAAGATCATAAAATGGATGAAACATAAAAAAATGTTTTCCATTTAAAATCAGCTGCTGATAAAGATTATAAAGACATGCTACAGAGATATTGAGTTTATTTACCAGAAAAAAAATAATATTTTACTTTAATCTGACCGTCCTGATTCCACATGAAGAAAGTTTTTAAAACTGGAGTCAGAATATTAAACAAGGATCCAAAAGAAACATAATAAATTATTTCTGAGCTGCACTTGAAGGCAACATGATTTGTGAAAAATGAACAAAATCAAAACAAAAATCCTCTAAAATGTTTGAATAAAACTAATTTAAACTCGTAACATTAATTTTACTCTGTTGTTTTTCTGTATTGTGCTTCATGTTGCTGTAGATATGAATGTTTATATTGAGGTGAAACTGAAGCAGGAAACCACAGAGCTGCAGAGACCAGAACTCAGATATTCACTAAAATACTGAATTATAATCAATAATCCCTTTGAAATGTCATTAGTTAAATTAATTCATAAACTGGATGTAATTTATGATCCTTTATATAACAGAACATCATAAATTAAAACTAAAAACAGTTTCACTGTTTGTGGAACATAAATTTTTACCTTCCAGCTGTTATGATCTGAAACTGAATGAAAATAATTGAGATTTTTACCTCTTGCTTTTGACTTTAGTTTCTTGTTTTTGATGACAATCTGTCCATAATTAATGTCGTCTGTTCTCACTGCAGAGTAAACGGCAGCTGGATCCATTTCTGATCAGGAAAACAAGAAATGATTAATTTATGTTACAAACAACAGAAATACAGAATCTAAAGCTACATGCAATAAAACTGATTTTTATTTAGAGTCAATATTACAGCAGCAAAGATCAAAACCATAAAAAAATGTTTTCCATTTAAAATCAGCTGCTTAGAAAGACATTAATGACATGACAGAGAGATACTGAGTTAATTTACCAGAAAATAATTATATTTTTATGTCTGAAGACTTAAAGTCAGAATATTGAGCAAATGTCTAAAATAATTATCTTTCCTTCTGTTCTGAATTTCAAATGAAACTATTTTTTCTGAGCTGCACTTGAAGGTTACATGGTTTGTGGAAGGTGAATAAAATCAAGACAAAAGGCAGAAATAAAACTATTTTAAACATTAATTGAAGCATTTTGACACTGATGGTGTTTCTATCATCTGGTTTCTGTGGAAAACATGATTGTTGTTCCATATTTAGGTGAAACATTGAAGCAGGAAACCACAGAGGCTGTTAGAGGCTGTGAGGCTCAGCAGAGGAAAAACCATCTATGAAGACGAGTCTGTGGACTTTTACAGATTAACTTTATCATGTAAATGTACAACTTAATGTCCTGTATTTATCTCTGGTGAAACCATGAAACCAAATTTAACAGCATTAATAGATCTATGCTCTGTGTTTCTATGTCTGGGCTCCTGATCAGCTGCTGAGTTTCCTTCACGTTGGTCCAGATTCGTCTTCATCTCGTTTCTCTGAGGAAGATGATCTGTTAGTCACTGACATGATGAGATACAATCAGTTTATAT